TATTCTTTGGCACCTAGAAATGGACACAAATGGGTCGCAACGCATATAACAATGTATTATGAATGTATATAACCAGATTTACATTCAATCCTTTCTGTTTTACTGTAATTTATAATCAGTTATGTTCAGCGAAATAAGCGAAAAGTGCAAATTGAATGACAGTCACTTCATTACAAATGGCACTCGAAAGAATTCTGGCACGCGATTCGTGTGCCAAGTTTAACATTTTCATTCTGGATACCAGAAGCCCCGTTTTTCAGTGTAGGATAAAGCACAAGATTCAGGTTATGCTTGGAAAAGCCCCTGGAAAAAGATAAACCTTGACCGAGAGGCGGAGGTTTTTCTGTCGAGGGTTTTTTTTCTGGCGTCTTTCTTCCCCAGCATAACCGAAGTCGAGGACTTTATCTTGCTTATAAACCGTCTATGTTTACATGCAAAATGAGAATCCAGAATTCTCGTAAGAAAAATCGTATATCATATTTTCTTATGGGGAAAAAAACTACCCTGGAAGAATAACCCGTTTCAGGTTTAAAGAAAAACTTTCAGAAGAATAACCCCAAATTCCCCTGTATGTATCCAATGCCGCCCCCAACTTTCAGACCGCAAGTTATTCCGGACATAGAATATACCCCACAGATCAAGATCTTTGGATTTATAACCTTAAGATAACAACACCAATGTTGATGTAAATTGACCAAAAAGTAGTGTTTACAATGTCGAAGACTGTGGATGATACCGAGTTAAAGACTTGACTACATTAATTTACGTCAAAAATAAAATTGTCGATTTCATTGGATTTTATGTGTTCATTTCTTTTGTGGGATGACAATCGTTGAAAATTATATGTCTATACAGTTAAAAATATTATGTCAATTAGCATTCATTCGCGAGAAAACAAGTTGCCATTACTCATTACACTCGAAGGAGTAACGTTTTTACACTCAAAAAAGTATAACATCAAACCTAAATCCAACCACTGATTCAAATTCAACAACACCCTAATTTCCCTATTATTAAAGGGCGTATGGCTCTATTTCTGGAAAATGCTTCTAAAAGCACACATTAATGTAATATGGATGCATGTAAAGTGATTTATATTCAATTTTTGGATTTTTTTTTAATTTCTAATCAATTATGTTCGGTGAAATACAAACTGAACTGCAGTCGTTTACGTCTGCTTAGTCCATTCTAGACGTGTTTTTTTTATTTCGTCGTTTGTGATTTAACCTTAAATAATTACTTCCACATTGTCTTGAGTGCAGTAAGCACTCGTAAGGGTGCAGTTTATCCAAAACACCCTAGTTTTACGTCTTAGGGTGTATACTAGGGTGTAGCTCTTTTGGTTGGTTGCACTTTTAAGAATAAAAGAGAGTATGCTGATTTTTGAAGTAAATGTAGTGCATATGTACGTCAATAAATAGAACAGGGGTTATGTTTATAACGATCTACAGTATTTCGAATGATTTATCAGAGATAAGCAGAATAGAATATTACACAATACAGTATGAACACCGCCGACACTCATCTAAGAAATTCAGGGCCCGTGAGAGACGGGGGGGGGGCAGCTTGGACACTTGTCCAGGGGCCTGGATCCTAGATGGGCCCGGAGGTATGCCGGGTAATGCTTTAAAAAAAATTCTTGGTATAATCTAATACAAACCAGGCAAAATACGCCCACAAGCTAAAAAACGAGGAGTGAGTTTTCGTAAAATCAGGGCCATAATCCAGGAAATTATGGTCTGAAATACGCGAATATCTACAGGTACTGAGATATTTTAGATATAAGCATAAACTTCAAGTTTCATAAAATTCGGATAAGAATTGTGTCTTATAGAGAGTCCACAACCTTGGTATTACGTATTTTTACATTATTTGCGTACAAGGACCGGCCATTTTTTTTCCGGCAGTTTTGGTCAGATTTTACGAAATTCGAACTCAACCTTCATTGATGTGTACCGGTGATAATGGTTTTTTTTTTAGGGGGGGGGGGGTAATTGAATACAAATTATGACTTCTAGTGGGACCACAAGCTAAAAATGCGATTTTTCGAACAATCGGGAGCCGTAATCCAATGCAAGATCTTTGTGATATAAAGATAAATTTAAAATTTCATCAAAATCGGATCAAAATTGTGGCCTCCAGATGGTCCACTACCTTGACATACTACATATTTACACTATTTGCGTGCAAGGGGTGGCCATTTTGTCTGGCAGTTTTGGTCCGATTTTCACGAAATTCAAACTCAGCCGCCATTGGGGTGTAACTGTGATATTCAGAGGTTTTGTTTTAAATTAGATAAAAATTGTAAACTCTAGTGGGACCACAAGCTAAGAACGCGATTTTTCGTACAGTCAAGGGCCACAATTCAGGAAATTACGATCCGATATGCGCGAATATCGAAATGAACCAAGATCTGAACTCAACCGACTTTATGGTATATCGGCGATATATTCAAACGTTGTTTCTTTTTTGTTTGTTTTTTTTTTAAATCGGATAGTAATTTGTACCTCTAAAAGTTACCGTCCGACATGAGCGAATATCGACAGGAACCAAGATCTTTGGGTTATAAACATGTTTTTCAAGTTTCATCAAAATCGAATCAAAATTGTGACATCTAGAGGTCCACAACCTTGATATACCATATTTTACACTATTTGCATACGAGGGGCGGCCATTTTGTCCGGCAATTTTGATCCGATTTGATATAGCCAAACGTTTTTTTTTTAAATCGGATAATATTTGTGACCTCTAGAGGGACCACAAGCTAATAACGCGATTTTAGGTAGTCTGGGGCCATATTTCAGACAGTTACAAACCTATATGCGCGAATATCGAAAGGAACCAAGATCTTTGGGTTATAAACATGCATTTCAAGTTTAGTCAAAATTGTGACCTCTGTGTGCACAAGCTAAAAACGTGATTTTTCGAATAATCAGGGACCATCATCCATGAAGTTATGGTCCGATACATGCCAATATCGAAAGGAACCGAGATCTTTAGGGGATAGACCCATATTTCAAGTTTCGTCAAATCGGATAAAAATTGTTACCTGTAGAGTGCCCACAAACAAATTGTGGACGAACGGGCGGACGGACGGGGGCGACGGCATAATACGTCCACATGAAAATGTGGCTGTATAAAAATCGTAAAGTAGAAGAAAACCGGTAACTTGTCTCCGTGTGGGTACCTAGTGGCGTGGGTAAGATTAGAATCAGATTCTGTCTGTTTACTTTTTAAGTCAAAATGGTGAATTAAAAACTATGAGCTTTCAAGTGTGCACAAGAAGTTCCCCTGGAATCCAGTTCAACGTGATTTGGGGTATCTATATATATATTTGTGACTGTCGTTTGTCTGTCTGTCTGTCTGTCTGTCTGTTCGGGGTTGGCGGCTACACTAGGTCTGCCCCGAGTCTGAAATTTGGGGTATAGGGGTAGCTCGGACCGGGGAGTAACATAGGCCAGGTGGCGTTAGTCTACCACTTCCGGTTTCGGAGTTATGACCCCCGAGCGAAGCCGGTCTGTTCGGGGTTGGCGGCTACACTAGGTCTGCCCCAAGTCTGAAATTTGGGGTATAGGGGTAGCTTGGACCGGGGATTAACATAGGCCAGGTGGCGTTAGTCTACCACTTCCGGTTTCGGAGTTATGACCCCCGAGCGAAGCCGGTCTGTTCGGGGTTGGCGGCTACACTAGGTCTGCCCCGAGTCTGAAATTTGGGGTATAGGGGTAGCTCGGACCGGGGAGTAGCATAGGCTAGGTGGCGTTAGTCTACCACTTCCGGTTTCGGAGTTATGACCCCCGAGCGAAGTCTGTCTGTTCGGGGTTGGCGGCTACACTTGGTCTGCCCCGAGTCTGAAATTTGGGGTATAGGGGTAGCTCGGACCGGGGAGTAACATAGGCCAGGTGGCGTTAGTCTACCACTTCCGGTTTCGGGGTTATGACCCGCGAGCGAAGCCGGTCTGTTCGGGGTTGGCGGCTACATTAGTTCTGCCCCGAGTCTGGAATTTGGGGTATAGGGGTAGCTCTGACCGGGGAGTAACATAGGCCAGGTGGCGTTATTCTACCACTTTCGATTTCGGAGTTATGACCCCCGAGCGAAGCCGGGTATCCTGCTAGTTGATTAATAAACGAATAGTGATGACAAATATTTTTGATATGTTGGCGTCTGATGGTCACAATTTTGTTTTATTATTTGTTAGCTTGCTTGATTTTTATTTTTTTTTTTTTTTTGGGGGGGGGGGGGCCAAATCGTGTACATCTGACTATTATTACATCAGTGAAACTAAAACGTAGTATGTCATTATATTCGCCAAAATGACGCTGGAAGTTTCGAGCCCGTAATCCCCCCTCTGCAACCGGGGATTCGAAACAAACATAAGTTGACTCAATGACAAGCCGTATGATACAGCACGCACGTGCTAACCATTCGGCCATCCATATGAGTTTACAGTTTTAAACACGTTTTTACAATTTGGTGTGAAGCATTTCCGTCATGAAAGACCGAATCATACCTATATTCAACGTTCCGCGATGTTTCATTCCGGATCTCTTTAAAAGTAACTAACAAAAGTAAGGTGGGCTACCGAGTCCAACCGATTTTCAGGGCCTGCCGTAAATCAAACAACTCACAACCAGTTTGAATCGCTACCCGCTTTGACCAAGTTCCTATACTTACACAATTTTACTTTAGTCCTGACATTATTACAGAATCATAATGTTGATAAACATAAAAGTTTGCACATAGCATGTGACTCTTTTTAATAAATAATCAAGTTCCATTTTGTTGTCTTTTAGCATAAAAATAAATTCTCTGTACTTTTTTCTTTATAAAAAAAAATAGCGAAACGTTATTGAAATATTAAAAGTCGATATTTAAGTTTCAGATTTAGAATTCAGTTAAGAAGCTGCATATAGGATTAGCCTATATTGAGTGTTATTGTTGACCTCAAACGGGTGGTTTAATCGTGACTCAAGAATATTTGTCTAGAATTACCAGTCTTGTCACCTGTCGCTTTACCTGACACGAGCATGCGCAGAACTAATTTACCTGTGAAGGTACATCCGTTATTTTGGAGATACTTGAAATTTGAAGAATTTTAATGTAATATTATGATCATATAGTGGTTATAATACATAAAACAAGTAGGTTATTTTTATTGATATATTAATTAAATATCCTTCAAGATTTTTATCCAAATGCGTTATGTCATTAAGGATATTGGAGTTTGAAATTCTAACTGCATTAGTCACAACAAATATCGCCATTTTGGATGGGTTATTTACAAATTACTGAATAAATGGCATTATTGTTTGAATGTCTTGTGTATTGTTAGTTGCATCAATATGTCGACTACATTAGCTAATTGCTGACGGTGTAGGCTTCAGGCACAAACCATTTTCTAATTTAAAGATGTTTTCTTTTTTTTGTATGTATCTTCCATACAATATTCTTTACTGCAAACAGATTGTGATAAAAACATCATACATGTACATCGCTTGGGACTATCTAAGCAATAATGTTGTTTCTAAATTGATTTCCACCTTATACAAAAACATGAATCTTCACTTCCTAAAATCTAACTTGAAGTTTGCTGTACATGTACATCAGGGGGGTTGGAGGCTGAATGGTTAGCACGTGCGCGCTATATCATAAGGTCTGTCATTGAGTCAACTGGCGTGGTTTCAATTCCCCGGTTGTACATGACAAGGATTAGGGTCACCTCCTCCCACTGCTAAAGACCCCTATGCGCAAGCTAATTATTGAAATAAAATTTAACCATGTGTTAGTCCCGAAATGACCTAGTTAATTGGTGTCGAGTGGACGTTAAACCCCAATTTCTCTCTCTTTCTCACATGTACATCATTCCTAGCCTATACATCATTCTTAAAGTAAGAATTCCTGAACACAAAGGGCATATGCATGTCCTAGCTTATTCAATTCCATTACTGAAAAACAATAAAACTCATTTACAAATAAAAACAGTCCAGCAAAACATGTTAATATGTGTAAAAGGCTTCCCAAAGGCATGTTGAGAAATTTTGCTCATTATATTATGTCCTATTTCAATAAAATTAAGAATTCCAGAAAGCCTGTCGATTATAGAAGTAGTAAATATGGAATGTATTTTCAGCCCCTATTTTAGACATTTGTTAATCTTGTTTAACATACATATATTTTTTTTTTTTTAGGTCAAAATGTCAGCAGGTTACGGACCAGCACACTACTATGCCGAATCCAGGGCTAGTAGTGTATCGGAACAACCTGTATCTGGAATGGATTTCCAGATGAAGGCCTATCCATCCCAGCAGAGTATTGATACTAGATCATACATGTCGGCCAGTCGAAAGAGTTTATACTCTAATTACACATCATATACGACGCACACCAACATGTCATACATCTTACCCATTGTTACTAATCAGCCGTTATTAGATAGAAGACCACCAGATAACTGGGGATTAGCTTTTTGCTCCCTTTTCTTTAACCCAGTTTTTGGTCTTTTTGCTCTTCTTTTTGCAGGTGAGCCAACAAATTCAATTTACTTCAAAAAGTATTAAGTATCGTATCATTCGCGAAATTTGTCGAAAATGCTATTTTCAGCTCAGAAACATTAGCCATATAAGACACTTGATTAGCCAGGAAGCAGCTGCCACACTTGTGTGTTCTCTGGTTTTCTCAAGGATTGACTACTGTAACAGCTTGTTAGCAGAAACATCTATTGCAAATATTAAAAAACTTCAACTTGTACAAAATACCACAGCTCGAATTGTTACCAGATCATCAAAATACTCTCATATAACTCCTGTTCTGAAATCCCTCCATTGGATGCCAATAAATGAAAGAATTATCTTCAAAAATCCTGTCCTTGACTTATCAGTGTGTAAATGGCTTAGCTCCAAAATACTTATCCGATCTTATGCAAATACATGTTCCCTCATGTAACCGCCGATCAAACAGACTTCTTCAGTTGTGTTGCCCAAGGTGGAAGCTAAAATAATTCGGATACAGATCATTCGAAGTTATTGCACCTAAAGAGTGGAACAATCTACCAGAAATCATTAAATCATCTCCAACTCTCTCTTGTTTTAAATCAAGACTTAAAACCCATCTTTTTGAGAAATGTTATCATGATTAATCGAATTAATTAACTGTATGCGCTGTGAGCATGCCTCTGTGCATGGAGTACTAGGGCCATATAAATGTACATATTATTATTATTATTAAAGTCTAAACTTTGGCTTACTTCATGCTCACTGATTGAAACAAGGTCCAAATTTACAGAATGCTTTATTAACCCACCAACAGGTGTGAAACATGACCTTACCCTTTAAGACAGGTGTTAATAAGTCATTATAATAGTACAAGGTCGAATCAGATGATTGTATGCTGACATTTAGTAATCCTTGATTCTTTATATTTTTTCCGACCAGAAAATCATTAATCCCTTTGTCTTTGTATGTCCATGAGCTCAGCTGATGAATGGAATGTGACCGGTTCCATGAAATCAAAGAATTTTTTCAACATTTAAAAGATAGCATTCCAGAACACACACAAAACATTAATTAGAATCTGAATAGCTTCCTGGTTGCCAAATTCGGATATTTCACACAGACCTGTGTGAATCTTACCAAACAAAACCTTTGAGCTGAGTATTAGGTCAATTGAAGTACTTACTTGGTTAATCTGATGTTTTATTGTCCCCACCTTTCCAAAAAAAGCAGGGGACTATTAAAATGTGTCAACACGTTTTGGGACAGACTACTACTTGTTAGTTGTGTTTTACGTCCGCTTCCACCGAGGTGATATCGCAGACAATGTTCAATCTTGACATAGGTTGTCCATTTGGGGAATGCCAAGACCAAGTCGAGACTTTGGGACACTATAATTTAACCTCACTATTGGCTTCTTTTATTTCCAACTAAATTTGTATATAATGAGATACTAAGCTAATGTCGGGTTATATACTTATTTTGAATTTTATATTTTTTGCTTAAACTGCCTCTGAGCACAAAATTGGTGTTGACAGAAATAAATCAACACATCAAATCTAATACAATAATTTTATTTTGTTCGATACAGAATCTAGTCATTTATACAGTTTTTGCTGATTTCAGGTAATAGGTTTGTCTTGTGCAATTGTTTGTGTGTGGTGCAGTCCACCTGCACTTACTATAGTATATATTGTATTTTCCCTGGATTCAATATATCTCTAGTTACAAACAATTTATGTTTAAATTCCTATTCTCTTTTATAGAACAATCGAAGATTTACTTCACCAAATGTAATTACAAGAAAGCGTCACAGTATGGATCCTATGCAAAAGGTGCTGCATGTGGTGGTATTTTTACATCAATTATCTTGTTGTTATGGATCATCGCCATGGCTATACATCATTATGAGATGTTTAATTAATGTACTCCTCTGACAAAACAAATGTTTATCTCTTTTATTAATCAAAGAAATGACAATGATGAAATGGTCATAAGGTATAGAACTTGTATAATTCATATACATTATGATATTTGTTAAATAAAATTGTTTTAACATTGATTGGGATTGTTAACGCCTTCTATGTTGATTTTTAATCTGCATTTCCAATACATATTGTTTATTAATCTTGCCTTAAATACATATTCAAAAAATATTCAAGTCTAATGTTCAACAAATTTAAGGTGAATGTTCAAATTTTATTTTCACAAATTTGTATTATAAATTCACATGGTATCTTTTGAATAATTGTCTTTTTGCAAAGTTGCATCACATAGCTTTTATATTCAGGAATCTCTAATTATATGTATAGTACCATACATGTAGCAGGTACCTATTCTTTTAGCTTTCACAACAGTAAGCAGATCAGTATCATTCTATACACCGGGAATTTTTAAAAAATATGAATTGTGTGATTTTGAGACGGAAAAAAGCATCATTTAACTTAGATGATCCATATTTGAAAATATTAAGAAGTGAATTTTATGGTATTTAATGTATATAAAAAAACTTTATAATCATTCCAGTTAATATAATATTCCATATTCATATAGTAATCATACATATCTTATAGTACAATGTACATGTATATGTTAACTCCAGAAATTAGTTACATTGATTTTGTAGATGTATTCTCATAAAATACATATAAAATTTAGGCAATTTATATGTATATTTTTATTACTGAAAATAATTTTATCATATTTTTATATTTCAATCATTTGTATATAAACCCAGTTTCATAATTTTTAATAAATATATTAGAACTGTGCTCTTTTTTTTTTAATACTCTGTTTTAATTAATCAAATTCTTAGAACGCCCAAGTATAATTGCTCCCTGGACACCCACTGAGTCCTTCCCCTGGTCCAATCAACATCTGCTTGCCTAACTCGCAATGAAGCCCACTCCCCCACCCCTTTTGAAAAAGGCTGGGTTCATCCAGTCTATTTCATTCCAATTTAATATTTTGTTGGTTTATACTACATTATACATGTATTTGAACCACTAAATTGTCATTGTGAGATATTTTTAGATTTTACGTACAACTCTGATTTTAATTAGGCATGTTTCCTCACACTCTAAATTAATTCAAGGACAAGTGGTAAGCCGTAATAGGTAATTGTGTTTTGCTGTCTACTAAGTAGGTTTTAACTCCACTTGACTATGATTGATGTGGTTAATGCAATAAATTAAGTTAATGCAATAATGGTGTCTGTTTCCATACAGAAAATTCATATTACAGAAATTCTGGCTTAGTGTTAGTGCAACCTAAACCCAATCCTTTGGAGGTTAAACTCGGTTATGTGGAAATTTCAAAACTCCCCATTCGATCGTTCCTTGAGGCTAAACGTCTGATTCCACCTTTGATGATATCGCAGACAACCTCCCAAAGACCAGAATTGGTTATATACACTGTGAGAGAAAAATTGGTGGTCTGCATCCAATACATTTCCTCGGTTGTTTCCCTTTAATCGGGTCTAAATTGGACGCTGGCGCAAAACTCAGAGAGAAATGGAGTTTAATGTCCATTCGACACAAACTAGGTCATTTCGGGACTAACATATGGTTCAATTTTATTTCAATAATTCGCTTGCGCGTCTATAGGCGTGGGAGGACCCGGAGAAAACCCACGAGGTTAGACCTGCAGGCGACCCTACTACTTGTCACGTACACCCGATGAATCGAAACCATGCCAGTTGACTCAATGATAGACGATATGATGCAGCGCGCACATGCTAACCATTCAGCCATCCAACCAGACAACAGATCAGAGAGAGAAGCGCATGTGTTAGACCACTTTTGACTTAACCAAGGGACAAGTTTAACGAATGTTCAATGAAATTTACACAGAATACCTCTTATATGAATATGATATAGTAATGAAGTGAAACATATTTCAGCTCTCGGGTAAAAGATCACTACGTTGTCAAAAGCTGTGGGAGGTTCGCAACAGCATCTGCAGTACGTTCTCGTGGCGGGAAATGTTCCGGGGAGAACCAGACAACCGATCCGCGAGTGAAGAATATCAGCTAACCTATCACAAACTGTTACATCTGAGGGATGTACCTATGTTTGCTCGTGTAACAGGTTTCAAGGACCGGAGGATTGTAGATGATCCCATGGCATTGAACCCTATTCACATGACCAGCATGGCTACACATGCCAAATTGATTACCATTATATCTTTTAAATTATCAATGGATGAAATGTTAGAATTGCATATGTAGCCATTGTTCGACAGGTGCGTCTCTTCGCTGTCAACTATTTTAAATGACCGCTGATTATCAGATTTTCTTCCATCGTTGGTTACTTGAACGTGCCAAATAGGTTATTTTGGTCAAAAATATTTTAGAAATCAGACCACACATATTGCCATCGGTATTTAGACACCGATCAGTGTATAGAAACATTTGGAAGTTTTAATGGAGAGTTATTGAAAATCAGGAGACTACATGCATTCCATATTGAAATCTCCCGAAGGAGAAGATGACATATATATATTTATTTTATGATCAGTAGTGGAATACCGCGTTTTATCAGTGAAATAAAAGTGTTATTCCACTGGCTAGTTGTATTTACCTAAAATGATTGTAAAATATAAATATAAGTTTTCTTGCTTCTCGATGAAATAAAATATGTTATTCACTCTAAAACAACAAATATCCTCTATATATATATATATATATATATATATATAAAAACAGCATTACAGTTAGAATTATCCTGGATTGTCTGGAATGCCATACATCCTGCTGTGAGCAATGTCATCTTCCCCTTCAGGGATTTTAATATGGAAAGCTTGACGATCTCCCAAACAAGGACTCTCCATGAACACTTACAAATATTTTTTTCTTGTGGTTCTTCTTACATGTACGAAAATAGATATATCAAGTTTATGATAGTCGTGGCAGCCCATAAACCTATACGATGATCTGCTCCTAAATACAGATCTTAATAAACGCAGTCTGATCACTACAAAATTATGCACGATTATGACCTTCCCACGGCTATCCAGCGAGCGTAAAAGTCC